TTTTTTTTTTTTTGAAACATTCTTCTTATTTTCCCTGTGTAGGGAATGTTTCGCTGGCAGAGACCTGACGACCTGCCTCCGGGCGAGCCTAGCGAGGATGCCATATGGGCGGCTATCGACAGGCATGACCCTCAGGACAGTGCTGATATTCGTGACAGATTAGAGCAGCATCAGGACATGTTGCAGGGGCGGGACATCTTCCACAATTTCTTTGCTCGTTCCCCCTTACTTCCAGAGCTTCCTGAGGACTTCCTTGCTTCTGAGAACCCAGATAGGTGGGTCACCAGTCTCAGGTTACAGTACGGGGAGTACCACCCATTAGAGAGTTCCGTGGCACAGGTTGGCTGTGGCACCTGCGACATTTTAGTGCCAGCAGCAGATACGCTTGAGCCGGTTGGGCAGTCGAGTTTGTTGAGCCACCGTCAGCTGCAGTCATCACCCCCTCTAGAGTGGCCTAGGGACTCAGTAGTTGGACAGATTCAGAGCCCGGTCAGCGGCTATGTTTGTTGGGCTCGTTACGTACTTCAGGTGCACATGGAGACTCTTCGAGCAGCGGGGATCTACGAGGCAGTGTATGCCTCACTTTTTGACTACGGGCGCCTTCCCACTTCTTGGGCTCGTGGTTTAGTTGAGTTTTGGGATGCCAGTCGTAGCACCTGCTGGGTCGGAGCAGAGGAGATCACAGTCACCCTTTCAGACTTGCAGGCAGTGTCTGGGTTGCCAGTCTTTGGGCACAATTTTGAGGAGTGTGTTCCCCCTGATGAACAGTTGTTCCACCGGATTCCCTCGATGGATGGTGACAGGAGAGGCAGGCTGTTACTACCAGATGTTTACCCCAGGCTTCTACAGCACTACCGTCAGACTTATAGATCAGCACGGGGTTTGCCGATGCGTTCTCGAGTCACCATGCCTGTAGGCGTCTGGGTTCGTAGTTTTCTACAAGAGGAGTACTTGTCTTCCGTTACTGTGTCAGTACATGACCCGTTTGGTTGCGGCCTGCAACGCGGGACTCCACTGTCTGAGGAGACCGCCGAGCCTTCTTCTTCAGCCGGTTACACTTCTCTTGGACTAGCAGATGTTGACGAGCAGCTTCTACTAGCAGGATTTTTGGCACTTTGGCTTAGCACTTTTGTACTTCAACTCAGGACGGGGTCTCTGAGGTGCAGTGTTCTCTTAGCAGCCAGTCAGCTATCGGTGGGACAGAGACTTGCTTTAGCTCCTGCTGTCCTTGCCAGAGTATACAGGGTCTTACGGACCATTTCTGAGTCAGACTCCTTGACTGTACGAGATTCGATTTTACCATGGCAGTACCTGTACGCGTGGGTCCACTTACATGTTCGAGGTGCTTTTTCCTGTTTAGAGACTCCTGACTATTTTTTTCAGAGGGGATACCCTACAGTTCTTCAGTTGTCTCAGGCATCCTCTACCTTTGAGTCAGAGAGGATTCGTCTATTCTTCTTTGCCCCACAGTTGGTTACAGACAGATTTGCTTTAGTTCACCAGCCAGATTCTATTAGTTTACCACCACACCAGAGGGGTACAGTTGTGGTGGATGGGGTTGACCATAGAGGCAGACGTACTTTACTACAGAGGAGATATGGTTTTTTAGTTGCTGAGTACTTTATCAGCATGCGTCCAGGCTGGTTGTGCTACAGGGCAGGCACTTTAGTGACTTTGGAGGGCTACCAACCCAACAGGGTCGCTAGGCAGTTTGGACTCTCCCAGGCCACAGCTTACAATGGACGACCACTCATCCCTGGGGTTTCAGATACACAGCGCATGGATACAGTCCCACTAGAGACCCGCCTCTACGCAGCAGCTGTCACTTGGTTACACTTACTAAGGCTGGGTACGGGCTCCAGCTTTCTTTTGGCTCAGCTGTCTGCTCCTACAGGCATGAGCTACACACGACTGTGCTGGGTACGACAGTCTTTTGGGCCTGCTTTGGAGCATGGCGCGAGGAGGTACGAGCGCCGAGTACGAGAGCTTGGGTCGTCGAGGGGACGTAGGTCCGGTCGTGGTTTTTCAGATGTTACTTTTGAGAGAGGTACTTTTTCACCCGCTCCCTTTTTTTATTAAGTTGATTGAATATTGATTGCTTAATTTATTTTTGATACAGGGACAGATACTGAGGTCCATACTACTGCTAGGGTCGTAGTCCCTTCTCCGGCGAGAGCTCCAGATGTGGCACCTGAGCCACCTCATGTCGAGACTGTCAGGCCTTCGCACAGCCGTGCCGGCTCCCAGCGCACTTCCTCTTCTAGGATGTCTGTGGATGTTCACACTTTACTTGGGGACCTCGGCGAGAGCTCACAGAGACCGAGGAGATCAGACTTTACCGGCTACAGTACGCTGGACCCTCCGGACGACTTCTCTTTTCCGGTGTACCCTTACGGGTCTTTTTGTCCTGGGGAGTCTTCAAGGACCGGTGCAGGCTTCTTTCCTGAGTTTTCTGAGGCACCGTCGTACACACCAGCGGCCTTAGACTTGGTACATGCGGAGTTTTCTTTCTTTTCTGAGTGCCCCCAGACTGACACTGCGGGCCCCTCTTCTGTTCCTGCTGGCCACTCTGCTGACTCTGCGAGCCCCTCAACAGGTATGGGTTTGTCTCAAATTAATTCCTTTTGCCACATTATAATATTATCTATTACTATATTGATTGCTTGTAATTCTTTATGTAGTGCCTGAGGGGACTGACTATACCTCAGAGATTCTTTGTTATGCCCCTCTACCCCCGGATTCAAGGAGTGTTGTTAGGTGTAACAACACCATAGGGCTTTTGAGAGATCTGATTTACAGTATTGATCCAAAATCTCCGGAGTCTTGGATCGAGTTTGTTCCTTCTGCTGACCGACTTCTCGGGTTACTTGCCAGTTTTGGGGTGAGCGATACCGAGTTACTTTTCTGGGAGTCGATGTGCCGTGAGGCGGAGTCTTACATCTGGAGATTGAGATCCCTTTCTGTCTTGCGGACCAGAGCTACACTTCCAGAGCTGGAGGGGAGAGTTGCTATACGACGGAGGCTGGCTGATGACATACACGACAGGTTTGACAGTAGTGCTGTGGCCTTGAGGAGGCATCGTCAAAGCTCTTTCAGCATGACCCAGGAGTTTGACAGACTGACGACTCGCTTGCAAAACATTTGGAGAGACGCTAAACAAGTGATGTCACAGAGGCTTCACTTAAGGGAGGGGCGCAACCGGCGCGACCGCCTCACTAGGAGGGAGGAGCAGCGCCACCAGGCTTTGCACCAGGAGATGGTGGCAGCTGACTCTTCACTGACACGGGCTGTGGAGGAGCTTCAGACTGCTCAGTTAGAGTTCCAGATTTTGGCTGAGGTTACTGAAAAGATAGAGAGTTTACAGGCTCGCATCTCCTGACTTGTGCTTGTCTTTTGTTTTTTCCTGAGAATTGTACCTTGTGGTGTCTGTACTCCTTTAGTGTTTCGAGTCTCAGTGTACTTGTACTTCATGATGATTATAATATATATGGAGGACTTTTCCTTTTCAATTTTTTTTTGTACTCTGAGTTGGGTTTTAGGCTTGCATTGTTAATATCACTGGGGGTTTTAAATATTTATTTTGAGATCTTGGCACGTGGTGCGATGTCGACCCAAATAAATATTTAAAATGCCCCCAGCCTTTGAGAATAATTGTGAGCAATATTGCTTCAGCCATTAGTTGAAATCAGAAGCCGTTAGATTTAGCTCAAATTCTAAAAAATTTGGCACATTATGTCCTATGCTTTGTGCGATGTACTCGATGAAAGATTTGTAGGTTTTTGAATTTAGTTGATAGTACCAAATGTAGGTAGTATCTTAATCCTTAACCACTTGAGAAGACCTTTAATCCGAGTCACCTGAGTTCATCAGATTAGGAGAGCTAGGATTTAGTAGCTCTTTGTCCTCTAATTGCTGAAACGGGGTCCCTCTACTGCGGCCTTTTTTTGTGGCGTGTTGAGTAGACAAAACTGCCAGTGATCCGGCCATATTTGGGCATGTTGGATCCGGCTTTTTACGCCCATTCAGGTTTCAGACTCGAGCTATGGGAAATATGCTCCCCAATACTGACTCTTCTAAAATTAGTATATTTGAAGTCACCCTTTGTGGTTGAAGACTTGGAATCTACAGACATTTTGTAGGTGTTCGAGACTACTCTTATCCACTGGAATTCTGATTCTCCGGTCAATTGGGAGAGTCTTGTAAACTATGACCCCTAGAACTTGTTGAATCAAATCAGCTTTCGTTCTTCCTACAGTCCTTACTGATAGGTTGACAAAGTGGGAGTTCCGCTACTACGGCCTTTCTTATGACGTGTTGAGTAGACGGAGTTGCCAGCGATCCTGCCATATTTGGGCGTGCTGGATCCGACCTTTTACACCCATTCGAACCTTAAGCTTCAGGCTGTTGAAAGACTTCAAGCTTTTTTGGCTCAATTTGTTGAAGTACATAATCACAAAAGTCTCTCTTTTGACTTTAGAAATCTTAAATTGAAATTCAGGGGTTTTAAATATTTATTCGGGGATCTCAGCACGCAGCATAATGTCGACCCGAATAAATATATAAAAGTATTTCCCCCTTTTTTTTTTGCAAAATTGACATTCTAGAGTTTTAAATATTTATTCGGGGATCTCGGCACGCAGCGCGATGTCGACCTGAATAAATATTTAAAATGCCTCCAATTTTTTTTTCTCGAAATGCATTCATGTGTCACAAGAGAATCTCGAAATATATATGTTATACATATGCTAGTGGGCATTTGTCAGATACACAACAGAATTTTAAATACATGTTGATTACTATGCATGATACTTCTTCAAGTATCGGCCGTTAATCGGGGGCATAGGCCTTTGACCCTCCAGGTCAATCAATTGATAAGCTCCTCCTAGGTACACCTTCTCAATGACGAACGGGCCTTCCCAATTGGACACAAATTTTCCACCAATTTTTCGATGTGGGATGATTGGTCTTCTTAACACCAAAACCAATTCCCCTTCTTGAAATGCTCGATGACGTACCATCCGGTCAAATGACTTCGCCATCCTTGCCCGATAGATTTCCAAGTTCTGTTGAGCACGTAGTCTGACTTCATCGAGCGCATCGAGTTCTTCCGTTCTCAATCGGGCATTTTGCTCCTGAGTCAGATCATACTGGATAGCTACACGGAGTGAAGGTAGCTCAATTTCCAATGGCAATACGGCTTCCACCCCAAATACTAGTGAGTAGGGAGTGGCTTTAGTCGGCGTCTTGTAAGTAGTACGATACGCCCATAGTGCCTCCACCATCTTTGCGTGCCACTCTCTTTTATTTTTGGTGAGGATTTTCTTTAACAGTTTCACTAACGTCTTGTTAAAGGCCTCTGCCAAGCCATTGGCCCTTGGATTGTATATTGATGAGTATCGCCAATCGATCTTGTGGCGCTCGACGAACTTGTATATTTTAGTGATTTTGAATGCTGTGCCGTTGTCTGAGATCACACGGCGCGGTACACCAAATCTATAGACGATATTATGGGTGAAGAAGTTAATCACATGCTCAGACGTGACTTCTTTGAATGGGGCTGCTTCTGCCCACTTAGAAAAATAGTCCGTTGCTGCTAGTATGAAACGATGTCCGGCTGATGATGGTGGATCTATCGGTCCAATTATATCGGTTCCCCAGCATTCGAATGGCCAGGAAGCTATTGTTGGGTGCAGCGGATTTGGCGGCTGATGAATAACATCACCGTGAATCTGACATTCATGGCACCTCTTAGCATGATTAATACAGTTTGCCACCATTGTTGGCCAATAATAACCCATCCTCTTGATTTTAGCGGCCATTTTAGGACCTGATTGATGTGCACCACAAAGTCCTTCATGAACTTCTGCTACTACTTTATCGGCTTCCTTGGTCCCTAGGCACCTTAGCCACATCTGGTCAAAAGTCCGTCGATACAACGTGTCGTTAACAAATGCATATCGCAGTGCCCTTTTCCGAATTTGTGCGGCCATAGATTTTTCTGTCGGGAGCTTGTTTCCTTTGAAGTATTCAATGAATGGCTGCCTCCAATCATTTTCGACTTCAACATCTAAACAATGCCACCATGATTCTGAAGCTTGACTAGCTTTACGTCTCTTGACCACATGATATTCTTCCGGATAATTTTCCATAACAATCTGATGGAGGGGTTGAGGCTCAACTGGAATTATATCCTGCTTGCCTGGATTTGATATCTCTTCTGCCATTGGGAATTGTAATAGAGTAGGCTCCAAGATTCGATGATTATAAACCCCGATGAATATAGGCTTCTCTTCATTAGTATTTGCCATCTCTTTGGCCAATTTGGCCAAGCAATCTGCTTTCCCATTCTGTCCTCTAGGAACTCGAGCTATCTCAACATTTGGCAACTGCTTCAGGAGCTCAAGAGTTCGCCTATGGTAATGAGCCAATTCAAGCTTGCAAATCTTATAAACCCCCAAGACTTGATTTATTACAAGTTGAGAGTCACCAAAAATTCGGAGATTTTGAATTCTGACATCAATTGCGATCTCTAGTCCCACAATTAAAGCTTCATACTCAGCTTCATTGTTGGTTCGGGGTTCAGTTAGACTGAATGAAAATCTCATTATGCCTCCTTCCGGGGCTATGAAAATAATGCCAATGTCGGCTTGTGCCCTAGCAAGATTTGGAGGTCGGGCAGGTTTAATTGATGTATGCTCCGTCGAAATAACATCTCCCAAAATGTACTTCTTCATTTTTCCTCAACTTGCATATTGTATCTAGCAGAATCATCCATTAAGTGTGAGATCTGCACGGATAAGTGTGCAGCAGAAAAACTTGCCAAGGCTTGTCCTTCACAGCCTTTTGTGGTAGGTTACTGTTATATCAAACTGCTAATAATAATACTGACCCACCTGCAGGCGACCTTGTCACGCTGGCTTGTTCATTCAAAGAACTTCACGGATCGATCTTTGATATCAGTTGTGATTTGTGAAACAGGCATGTAGTGGCGGAGCTTTGACTGCGAAGATTTAATGCCAGACAATGCTTCTCAATGGGAATAGCGAATCATTGCTCCGATTTACCTCCGACTGATTATATAAAGTGCATTTTCTTTTCCATCTCATTATGTGAGCCATAGCAATGCTCCGAGGGGCTTCTTTCTTAAAGCTGCCGTTACAGTATAAGGGCTTCCCGATTGGGCCGCAAGAGAATGGCGGATTAACAAGTATCTTTTGAATGCTGTCAAACGCTTCCTGACACTCTGCATCCCATTGAAGCGACATTCTTTTCATCAAGCTTTAGAAAATGGCTGACACTACCCGACAATATTGATATAAATCTCGAATAAAGCCAATGCCCTTGATGAGGAAGTGTCGAAGGTTCCTGGTAGGTGGCATTCTCCGTAATTGCTTTTAATTTGTTCGGGTCGATCTCTATTATCGATGACGAACAACATGACCCCAAAGAAATATTGCCGGAGGAGACCCCAAAAGCACATTTGAGAGGATTCATTCTTCAGATCAACTTTCTGAGTCTCTCAAATACAATTTGAGATCTTTTAAGTGATCTTTTCGGCCAAAACTTTTAACAACAAGGTCATCTACATAGCACTCGACCTTTTGATGTATCAAATCATCAAATATGTGAGTCATCGCCCGTTGGTAGGTGGCCCCAGCATTTTTCAGGCCAAAGGGCATGACTGTGTAGCAGAAAATACCGATGGGTGTTCTAAATGCCGTATGCTTCTCATCTTCAGGTGCCATCTTGATCTGGTTGTAACCCGACGATCCATCCATAAATGAGAACATATCAAAATTTGATGTACTGTCCACCAAAAGTTCAGACACAGGAAGCGGAAAGTCATCTTTTGGGCACGCCTTATTGAGGTCCCGAAAATCGATACAGATGCGAATCTGACCATTCTTCTTCTTTACCGGTACGATATTGGCAATCCAGTCAGCATATTTTTCTTCTCGAATGAAGCCCGCCTCTATGAGTTTCTTGGTTTCAGCAATCACCTGGTCTTCTATCTCCAATCTCATTCTTCTTGGAGCTTGTTTAACAGGTACCGCCTCATGCTTGATGGCCAACCTGTGAACTGCCACATCAGGGGATAAGCCTGGCATTTCAGCATATGTCCAGGCAAAGCAATCCCTGAATTCACAGAGAAGCTCTTTCATTTCTTCCACTTGGTCTTCTGGTAGAAGGGAGCTAATAAAGGTCGGGCGAGGGTCCTCCTCAGTTCCCAAATTGATCTCCCTTAACTCATCCATAGTGGCTGCTTGTCCACCATCTTCAAGTTCTTCAGGTGCAGGCTCAGCTTCTACTGGTTGGTCATCATAATCGTTAGCTTCATAAATCTCTTCAGCACCATCATCATCAGATTCAATTTCCCTGCATGTAATGGCACGACACGTCTCCCCTTGGGAATGCCTTCTCACGAAAAATCCGAGGCCTCTTCTAGCAAGAATATCCTTTCTTTGCAATGTATGGGGATTTCTTCGATACCAGAGTTTCAAGCAAAGATGAAGTTGATGCA